ACAATTTCTTCATACTCTACTTGGCTGACTCATCTCCTGCGGCCCGTTTCGGGGTCAATTACCGGGACTACCGAGCAGCCGAACATTTTAATAAACAGCTTATTAAACAACGGATAATAATCGCTTAATTTAATGATAGTGAATTCAAAGTTCCCTAATAATCGGCTTTTTAGAATGTCGGCCAAAGCATAACTATCTTGGGTAATGGTGGAGACATTCGCATCCTTGTTAGCTCGCATGTATTCTTTATTAGAGTGATTTTGCTTAGCGGTGGTGCTGTTACGGTTAGAGGTTCGGCTTCCTTGCCCTTGCTCTTGGCTTTGGGTGCTTAATTGTTGTTGCCGAGAAAAGCCGCCATAATTGCCGGAAGTTAAGTCCACATTAGCGAAAGTAGGAATGTTTTTTTGATTACTCTGCTTTTGGTCGCTTCAATTAGCATTTTCGTTGCCGCTAGTAATGGTTTTCCCGCCTTGGATTTGGGTTTTATCATAGTTTTGTCCGGTGCGGGTGTCCGTTTTTAAGGTTAGTTTCTTTAAGTATTGCTTGATATCCCGAAAGGTTTCGGTTCATAAATGTTCTTTTCTTCTCACCTCAGCTATTACGCTAATAGTATTAGTCTTAAATTGGCTAATAAAATCATCCTCGTGAGGTTCAAACCACCGATACTGATACCGATCGAAGAAATGTTTAGCTATAGGTAAAGCAATTAGTCCATAGCCCCCGGAAGCTAAAGTTTTTTTAATTTCTTCCGTGGTAGCTGTAGCCGGAGTATAAGCATAAATAATTTGGTCTAAGTCTTTTTTATACTCTAATTTAGCTCAGTATTCAGCAAAACCTCCCGGGAACATTCTGGCTAAGGACATTTTAGGCACTGCTCTTGGTTCGTCTACCATAATTCCTCCTTTTTAAGGCCAAATTCTTTGGCTAATATCTCGCTAGCACTAGAATAAGGGTATTTAGCTCATAAATCGTCGGTGATTAGGTCGGCTTCGTTGAATTCTTTAAGGGTTGGTTTACAAGCGGAACAAATGAGGTAGGCTTGAAGGGTTTTATCTAGTTTCATTTTGTTTGGTATTTCGTTTTTAGTTTGCTGGCAAGTGTGGCAGGTAAAGTCTGAGGGTTGGGGTTTGGTTTTTTCTTGCTGAGCTTGGACACGGGCTTTTTTGGAGCAAGCCAGACAAAAAGAGAACTTACCGAATTGGCGGCTTAGTTCTGGATGCGGTTTAGTTTGTTGGCAATCGGAGCAGAGGAAGGTTTTTAAGTTTGGCGGGGTATTTATTGGGGTTTTAGTGGGCTTTTTTAACTCTTCAATAGTTTTCTCATATTCCTTTTTCTCTTCCCCGGCTAGTTTGATAATAGTTTGGATTTTCTTTTCCAAGCTTTTTACTTGCTCGGCTAATTCTTGTTTTTTCTTTTCATCAGCTTTTTTGATTTCGCGGTGAAGTTCAATTTGTTTTTGGAGGGCGAGGATTGAGCTGTTAGGCAAAGGTGGGGGAGTAGGTATGCTAGGAACCCTTTCTGGTTTAGTTGGCTTTGAAGGGGTATCACTTCCGTATCCTTCGTCTTGGACAATAGGCGGTGGTAAAACTTCCTTAGGCTTGGTTTTGGTGCGGGTTTTCTTTAAATCACTAGGTTTAACTCCGGGCTGGATTTTCTTTAAGAGTTCTTTTTGGTGTTCGGTTTTATTCATGGCTTCCTCCTTTCGTTTGCTGTGGGCATACTAAGAACCCATCTCTGGTAAGGACTTTGTTATTGTTTAAATCAACGACTCGCCCGAAAGCCTTATATTTGTTTTCGGACAGTCTGGTTAGCCTCGGTGAATGGTCGGAACACTCGGAACATACCGAAAAACCCGTATGGTGTTTTTGACCCAGCCAATAACAGTTTTGAATGTTTTGCTTATGATTGTTCAGGCTGGTTTTTTTTAGGTT